CACACACACACACACACACACAAATTCTCCCAGAATGTCCCAACTTTTTTCAAGGTTCCAGCCCCAAAAGTCCAGGTATGGGGGCACTACCCACCCAGCCAGTTTCCATGGACACACACTGTATTCAGACAAAGTGTATATCTGACTTCCATAGCAGAGTCTAAAACAGCAAAAGCATCCCAAGTTTTGGTAAACAGTTCTCTCCTTTTCACTCTGGACCCTTAACCCTCCTCGCCCTGTACCGCGGGGCTGGCCTGGGAGGGGACTTTAACCCCCACCACCACCCTCCCTGATCCAAACTCCCTGCCAGGACAATATGCATATCACAGTCAGTTCCAAAACTAACATGCAAAACCACCCACCCCAAGTCTCGTCCAAGCCTGAGGGCTGAGATTCAGGCTCAGGTCTAAGGGTCGGGGAATATTAAAGTTTCCAAGTCCAATCTTACCCCACCCATACACACACGGAGAAGCCCGGAGAGGACGCGGCCAGAGATGGGCTCCCGCCCCTGACCCCCCCAACCCTGCGGGGATGCAGGCAGGTAAGCAGAGCCCTGCCGAGGCGCTGAGGGCCGTCTCAGCATAAAAGGCCGGGCCATCTGGGCTGTTCTGTAGGGAATGTGGAGGGCTGTGCCCGCTGAAAGGGGCCAGAGCGAGGTGGTCCAGGCCCTGGCGCGTTACCATGGTGACGGGCTGCAAGCGGCAGGCGGCGCGGCTCCTCTCCCGGGCGCGGGGTCTGTGGGTCCGCGGGTCCGTCTGTCTGGGGCAGTCCCTGGCCCCAGCTAGCTCTGGAGCCAGCGGAGAGGGCAGGCCCGGGGCACCGAGCCCGGCGTCATCTCGGAGGAGCGGTCGGGGGGACAGGCAGAGAGACAGGCAGACGCAGAGACGCTGGAGACGGCGAGACACAGAAGAGAGCCGCGGGCCGCGCGGCTCCGGCCGCCAGGCGGGGCGGTAGCAGGGACGGGGCGGGGCGCGGCGGGACAGCAGCCCCTTTGTGCCCGCGCCCTCACCCCCGCCCGCGCCCCGCCCCCACCACTCCACTTCCCTCCGCCCACCCCCTCGGCAGCCAGCTGGAACCCGAGGAACCCGAGCCTGCCCCCCGAACAGTTTTCTTCCCCGCTCTTCGCTCTTCCTACTGCGCGCCCGGCCCGGACGGCCCCATTGCACAGACGGGAGAAGCGAGACCTCGAGCCGCAGCAGCCGGGTTAAGCGCCCGCGGAACTCACTGGCAGGCCTGAGTTCGAGTCTCCTCCTCCTCCACTTCCCAGCAAGTCACAGGCTCTTAAGCTTCGATTTCTTCAACTGTAAAATGGGGTGGGATGATGATGACGATGATGATGATGATTAGTACCTGTCGCTCGGATGTGGTGATGAGGAGTAAGCATCTGTCCTGGCGCTCTGAATTCTCCCACATCATGCCCCACATTATTGACGCCTAATTCAAGGCTTTGAGGTGATGATGGCTGTGTGCGAGTTCTGTTCTTAACTCAGATAATGACCTTGGCCAAGTCGGTATTTCCGACTGAGCCTCAGCTTTGGAGTGAGACTAAGAAACTAGATGACTGTTAGGGTCTGTATGTGTGTGTCCCCTCCCAAATTCATATGTCGAAACCTAATCCTCAGTATGATGGTGTTAGGAGGTGGGGCCTTTGGGAGGACAGAGCCCTCATGAATGGCATTAGTGCCTCTCTCTATATATATAGGCACTAATATATATAGGCATATATACGCACACATATATACACGCACATATATACATACATATATATACACACACACATATATATTTAAGATGGAGTCTCACTCTGTTGCCAGGCTGGAGTGCAGTAGCGCAATCTCGGCTCACTGCAACCTCCACCTCCCGGGTTCAAGCAATTCTCCTGCCTCAGCCTCCTGAGCAGCTGGGATTACAGGCGCCCACCACCGCGGACCCAATTTTTGTATTTTTAGTAGAGACGGGGTTTCGCCATGTTGGCCAGGTTGGTCTTGAACTCCTGACCTCAGGTGATCCACCCACCTCAGCCTCCCAAAGTGTTGGGATAACAGGCATAAGCCACTGTGCCTGGCCTAGTGCCTTTGTAAAAGAGGCCCCAGAAAGCTAGCTGCCTTGCCCTTCCCACCATGTGAGGACACAGCGAGAAGGGGCTGTCTATGAGCCAGATAGGCTCAGAAACATAAGGTCCAGAAAGAAAGCTCTTAAACACCAAACTTGCCTGTGCCCTGACCTAGGGTTTCCCAGCCTCCAGAACTGTGAGAAGAGAATTTCTTTTGTTTATAAGCCCCTCAGTCTAAGGTATGTTGTTATAGCAGCCCAGACTAAAACAGTGATTAAAATTATTTCTTGTTAGATGACTCAGGAATTTGTCCATTCGTTTATCAAACACTGTGCACTGAGTCAGCCTGTCTCTGCCACTAGACTGTACATTACCTGAGAGTTCCTGGCCTCAAGTAATGTACAGCCTAGCGGGGGAGACAGGCAAGGAGCAGATAAACAGGAAAAATAATGACTGCGGTAACTGCCAGGAAGGAAACAAACAAATGTTGACACTGGGAACTGTAGAGGGATCAACTTCTAGCTGGTGGTCTAGGAAGAAGGCAAAAGCATAGGGCTGAAAGGAGAGTGGAGACGGGGAGATGCGGAGAAACCAAGTTCTAAGCAGAGAGAACAGCATGTGCAAAGGCTCTGAGGCAGTATTAAGCTTACAGGAACTGGGGAGTATGTAAAGGACTGAGAAAGACGTGTGTAACTGTAAGGGTTTGAGTTCAGAACCTAAGCCTTATCCACAGCCCACCTCCTGCCTCACATAGCGTAACCAGTCTTCAAGCAGAGAAAACCTGAACTAGGGGCCATCCTATCCCAACTTTTGATTAGTTCCTTCATATCCCCGACCTTCACTTGCTCATCACTAATTTGGAACTAATAATCCCCCACGATAGTGCCATTATGCTACACAGCCCAGCAATCAAGTAAACTCTCTCTGCAGGAGACGGTCTGGATGCTTTTAACATCATGAATCCAGATGTGAATTTAGGAGAGAACAGACTTGATGTCCAGTACAGGATTCCACTGAGAGCTGGGGGATCACAGCTTGAAGGTTTTAGAGTCCCAGGTTGCCATGAGACAGAACTGGCATGACAGCCCTTGGGTTGCAGGCAACAGAAACAGGTTCTGAGTTAATTAAGCAGAAAAGAGTGGATTGGCAGTCACAGAATAAATGAGGAGGCTGGGGGCCTATCCTCTGGAAAGCACAGGAATAAGTAGGATGCTCCAGGGGTCTCACTATCAGGAAAGAGCTGGAAACGTTTGAACACATGGAATAACATTAAGACAAACAAACACAACAAAGTAGAAATGTATACATGTCAGGTACTTTTCTAAGTAGTAACAGTTCTGAAGTAGATTATATTATTGCCCTCACTTTACAGATAAAACTAAGGCACAGAGAGGGTATGTAGGCTACCCAATGTCAGATAGCTAGTACACTGTGGATTTCAGAATTGAACACAGCTATCCAATTCCATAAGTTATGTTATTAATCACTTTGCTACACTACCTGAACAAATCCCAACCATTCTCTCTGCCCTTATGTCACTTATTGCTGGACTCAGAACCCTAAAAGGTGGCCACCATGTGGTGGCATGCTCCTGTTATCCCAGATACTCAGGAGGCCAAGGTGGGAGGATCGCTTGAGCCTAGAAGTTCAAGGCTGCAGTCAGCTATGATTGCATCATTGCACTCCAGCCTGGGAGACAGAGTGAGACCCCATCTCTAAAAAAACAAATAAGCGGCCGGGTGTGGTAGCTCATGCCTGTAATCCCAGCACTTTGGGAGGCCGAGGTGGGCGAATCATGAGGTCAGAAGATTGAGACCATCCTGGTCAACATGGTGAAACCCTGTCTCTATTAAAAATGCAAAAATTAGCTGGGCGTGGTGGCATGCACCTGTAGTCTCAGCTACTCGGGAGGCTGAGGCAGAAGAATTGCTTGAACCTGGGAGGTGGAGGTTGCGGTGAGCCAAGATCGTGCCATTGCACTCCAGCCTGGGCAACAAGAGTGAAACTCCATCT